CAGCACCTGCCGACGCTCTCACGCTCCATACCACTGCCATACCCCCAAGCCTGCTCCTCCTCCTCCCTCCTCCTCCTCCTCCTCCTAACCACCAGTACCACCATCAGCACCGACCACCACCAACAACAACAACAACAACAACAACAACAACAACAACAACAACAACAACAACAACAACAACAACAACATCATCATCATCATCATCATCATCCGCGGCCGCCGCCTCTACCTCCGCCTCCTCCCCCCTCCCCTTCCCCCTCCTTCCTCTCCTCGCTTTCCTCCTTTCCTCTACCTCGTAGGCTTCAGAGATGAGCTTGAACTTCGCCTCTGCCTGCGGATCCTCCTTGTTCTTGTCGGGGTGACATTCCTTGGCGACCTTGTAGTATCCTACTCTGATCTCCTTTGCCGTCGCTCCCCTGCTCACTCCAAGGATCTGCCGCCATGTTCATGCCAGTCAACAGCAGTCACTGGGCACCTGGTAGAAGTCCTCCTTGCTCGAGCCCTTGGGGCTGAACAGCCGCGTCGTCAGCTGCACTACAGCCTCCTTGACCTTGGTTTCGTTCTTCCCCGTCCCTAGCCCCTCGTCCTTGCCTCGCATCCATTGCCCTCCTCTGAGTGCGAGGGAAGGAAAGGGGGTCATGCAGGAGGATAGGCTCCTGTGCACCAGAGGAGGAGCAGGGTGTCGCTGCCACCCCTGAGCGACGTGAAGGCATTGAACGGATTGAATGAAGAGCAGAAGAAAGTCTGCGGAACCGCGTGGGAGGGGCATGGAAGATGCCGAAAGATGTCCTCAAGGGAAGACGAGAACCAGACCGAGCTGCTAACGTAGACAACCACTTCCTCCTCTTCCTCTTCCTCTTCCTCTTCCTCTTCCTCTTCCTCGTCAGGCGCACGGGCTGAGCATGCCTCCGCTGTTCTAGAACTGCTGAAGGCAGCGAAATTCTTTATGACTAACTTCATAGACCTGATTTGCTGCCCTAGCCATCGGCACCGTCCGGATACTGGCGTAACCGTCTGCAACGGATCACCACCCAAAATAGCGTTGCTACTGTCGATGGCAGCAACATGGAAGGGAGAGGAAAGGCGCTGACCATGAGAGAGGAAGGGAGGAGACGAGTAAGAAGCGATGAGCATGCCGTCTGGGCAACCCTCTCCCAGATGCAGTCGCCGCAAGTTTGATGAAGACCTCAAGGTTTGCAGCCCATGAAACCCGAGTAAGTGTAGGAGGTAAGCGTGAGCCCAGTTGGATCCCAAGGGCATGACCCGCCAGCATCTCTCGGACGAGCCCAGTCACGTCGTCGTCAGTCACGTCGTCATCAATCACGTCGTCCCGACTCTCACCGACTCCTCCGCTCGCGCCATCACCGTATCAACCCATCAGTCGAGCGGACAGCAGGCTCTTGAACTCGCTCGAGCCAAGGAGGGATGGCAGTGGGAGGAGAGTGCACGAGCTGAGGTAGCAGCTGAGGTAGCAGCTGAGAAGCACTTCTCCTGCTGGTCCTCGTTTCATCCTCCAGCAACTCGGCCCATGAGCCGTCAAACGGCCATGCAACCCCGCGACACTTTTGCGCGGGGGTTGCGGACTGCGACGATGCTGGTAATGCAGACCTTGAGCTCAGAGGAGGCGATGAGTGACTGGCGATGGCTGCAGACCTCCTCTCTTCTCCTCTTCCTCTGCGTCCTCGCGTTCCAACACTCTCCGCACGGTAACGCTAGGCTACCAGTGGATTCATGTCTCTCCGCTTACTGGCCAGCAGCTGACCTTCTTCCGAGCCTCTCTGCTGCTTCTACCCAGCAGAGTCATCCGGATGCTGCCCAGGCTGCGGAACAGGTGAGGGAGGCAGGAGGGGGTAGCATTTCTGACGTGCCTCAGGCCAGCAACAACGCGATGCACTGGGAAGCGAAGGTGAAGCAATACTACCAGCAGCAGGTGGCTGACTCGCCTCCTCCCTCCCCTCACCTGACGCCTCGTGGCAGTACAAGCAGGGAAAGATAGCGCAGGTGCCTCTCATACCAGACCTCAACTCTCATGCCCCGTCGAGCACCCTGCAGCCCTCAGCTGACAGGTCTTCCTCCTCCCGTCCTGCCTTGTTGTCTAACGTGCCACGTCACGCCTTCAGTCGCTTCAAGCCTCCTCCGCCTGTTACTCTTCCCAAGCCGAAGCCCTACCGCAACCCATGCACGACATGCAAAGCCATAGACGTCGGCGAGCACGCGACCAAGCAGGTGTCGCCGGTGAGACTTACCCGTGTAACGCGCATCCTTGACACAAGAAACAGATACAAGACGAGAAGCAGCCGAGCGAGCGAGCTACCCCCGCCAAGACTGACCATCACCATGATCATCGGCACTCCGAGCCTGCCAGCAGCCCCACTGAGGAGCACGAGGAGACGAAACCTTCTTCCTCAGACCCTCGGCTATGGTGAGCTGCTGCCTTGACTGTCCTTGCCGAGATGCGCTGACGAGGAGAGGAACAGGATCACGCTCTTGTGCTGTATGTTGATGATCGGAATCATCATGACTCACTCGTCACTCTTTTCCGAGCCACGGGATTGATTTTCTTTTATTCTTTCCATTCTTACAAGCTTCTAGTAAAGCTTCAAGATCTTTGAAGAGGAAAATTCATGGAGAGAAGAATGCGGGAAGCAGTGTCAGGACAGGAGGAGATCTGTAGAGGGGCATGAAGATGAACTGAAAGGGAAGAGGGGAGAGGCAGCCGAGTCGTCAGAAATCAAGGTCATCCAACTGTGAGTCAGTCTTCATCATATCGGATACGGTGTCGTAACGAAAGCGCTGATCCATCTCCATCACCTCCCGATTGTTCCTGAAGAAGCTATCATCTCTCTCTCTCTCCTCCTCTCCTCACCTCATCATCTCTCTCTCTCCTTCTCTCCTCACCTCATCGTTCGCCAAACTACCCACAGCAAGAGCCCGATCACCGCGACAGCGACGATCTCCGACAACTTCATGCCACTCCGAGGTCTCCAGGCGCTCCTTCAGCGACCCGACGGTGCATGCGGCTGGCGCACATGCGTCAGCTCAACAAGATCCAAGACAGTAGATGATCTTTAGTACTGTCTTCTTCTGATCATGAAATCAATCTCTACTGTCTTCCTCTGATCATGAACCAACCTCTACTGTCTTCCTCTGATCATGGATCAACCTCTACTGTCTTCCTCTGATCATGAACCAACCTCTACTGTCTTCCTCTGATCATGAACCAACCTCTACTGTCTTCCTCTGATCATGAACCAACCTCTACTGTCTTCCTCTGATCATGAATCAACCTCTACTGTCTTCCTCTGATCATGGATCAACCTCTACTGTCTTCCTCTGCTCATGAACCAACCTCTACTGTCTTCCTCTGATCATGAACCAACCTCTACTGTCTTCCTCTTTACTAGCGTAAGTGCTCGTACTGTCTTCCTCTGATCATGAACCAACCTCTACTGTCTTCCTCTGATCATGCACCAACCTCTACTGTCTTCCTCTGATCATGCACCAACCTCTACTGTCTTCCTCTGATCATGAACCAACCTCTACTGTCTTCCTCTGATCATGGATCAACCTCTACTGTCTTCCTCTGATCATGAACCAACCTCTACTGTCTTCCTCTGCTCATGAATCAACCTCTACTGTCTTCCTCTGATCATGAACCAACCTCTACTGTCCTCTTCTGATCATGAACCAACCTCTACTGTCTTCCTCTGATCATGAACCAACCTCTACTGTCTTCCTCTGATCATGAATCAACCTCTACTGTCTTCCTCTGATCATG